TTAAGGATTGCCTTTTTTTTGCCCAAAGGGCAAAGGGCACTTTTCAAAACCTGAATTTATGTTATTTTCCGGAAAATTTTTTTCATTCCCGGGAAAAATATGATATGTCCGAAAATTTTTTTGGTTTTTCCGGAAAATTTTTTTCGTATTTAGGAAAGTTGGATACATCCGGAAAAATTTTTCTGGTATGTCCGGAAAAAAGTTTTGAGACCTCCCCCCCCCACCTGTCGCCAACATTTCCGAGAAAAAAATTTTAGATGCCCTTTTTTATTCGGAAAGTGCCCCTCAAAGCCTGCCTCCCCAACTTTTAGAAGCTTCCTACTCCCCTGAAAGGTATCAACATTATTTTCTCACTTTGACCATCGGTTGACAGCATCTGTTGCACCATATAGCTCAGCGATCTTATTCTGAATTGACCATAGAAGTGCTTACGTTACGCAATTTTCAATCATCTAAACATTAAGTATACCAAATGCAATATGGGATACATGTGGATCAAATATTCATTGTTTGACAGTGACGTGACGTAAGAACTTCTAAGGTTTTAATATTTCTGTGATATTATCATCATTATCGTTAATAACTACAGACGCTTGAGACCCAAGTAATATCCCAGAAGTGCTTGACAAGGAAACTGTAAAGAGTTCACTCGCTTCAACGATGTCATCATCAACAGTTATAAAATTGACAGTCTTGGGACCAGTCTCTCCAGCTGCAAATGGTACTGCTGTTATTGTGGAGGTGAAGTCAGTGTTTTCAGCAGTTCCAACTTGGGCATTAACACTAAAATTGAATTCAAATTCAGTTTACAATAGGACACATCTATTAACAAGGTATAAAATAGTTGGAGTGTTATGGATACCAGTGGAGTGTTATAGATAGCTATGGACAATTACAGGGGCGCACATTAGGGGGGTTTGGGGGGGGGGGTGCGAAACCCCCCTTAGCGTCCGCATATCACTAAAAGTCGGTCCCATTCTTCCTTGATACTGTGCGAAAACTCGGTCCCAAAATTCGGGTATAAGAATTAATATTTACTTCTGTCCGACTCCGTGAATTGGGACCGACAACACAAGAGCTGGTTGGTAAGATGTTATGAACAAGCCCATGTGTATGTGTTAATGTGTAAGAAACTATTTCTTGAGTTTAAACGTCAAATCGTAGCGCACCCGTTAAGGTTTAGATGGTTAATTCAGATTATTTATTATCTTGATTTCATTGTTTTGCTAGTTGTTATTATACACTTCTATTTTTCATTATTTTCAGTATTTTATATGGACGGACGAAAGTAACAATTATATTCGAAGAAATAAACTCGTCTCTCTCTCTGCTACTATCCGATTTCGCACCTGTGGCCTGCGAACGGATATTCTCATGACAGCTCATACACATTACTAATAAGCACGTCCTGGTATTCACAAGCGAGCTCATAGGCCTATACACATGTTTTGATTCTTCAGTTCAGAAAAAGACTGATTCTATTGATCTGGAACAGATTGAACAAATGCAGAAATTGAGCGAACTATTAAATAAGGGATGAATTTTCTTAATCCTTCGTTCGTACACCTGAACGAGCCTACCGCAAAGGTAGAGTTAAGACTCTGAAATGGTCATTTCCGGCGACCTAGAGGTTCTAAATGTTGAAAATTTTCTCGCTGGGCGCCTCGTGAGAATCGACCCACTGATATCAACTACATTCCCACGTCCCTGTTCTGTGGCATGATGTTTTTGCAGAATTGTTTTTTACCCCTCTGTTTAATTTCTTTTTGATATTCAAAAAGTCGGTCCCCAAGTGGCCCACCTCCCTCTAGAAATTCCTTAGATGTGCGCCCCTGAGGACAAATCGTTCAAATTAGTGAGATTTAGGGTAGAAATCTATAAAATGTTTTCTTGTCTTCCGGGGTAAAAGAACTGGATGCACAATGCATGTATAATTAATGCTGATGCGCATAATTATTGCATGTTATTAACTTTCGCATACGACGGATACCACTCTAGCAGGTTCTCAACCGAATTTAGGGTATAGAAGGCATTAAGGCCCTGTCACACTATTGCGTATCGTACTAGCGTATGAGAATATCACTCATACACCGGTGCACGCTGACGTACGCTAGGGGTACGTTAGGCATAGGTTTTATACGTTTCAAAGCTACCGTTCCCCTGCAGTGTGTGTGTGTGTGTGTGTGAAGATTTTGAAATTTAAACAGTGGCAAAACCAGCCATGGCAACTGGTCATGCTATACTATTAAACCTGCATCTACAGTAAATAGGATAAAGATGATGTCCACTCCGCTCGTGTGCGCATGTGCGAACTTTGTTTACGTTTTGAACTGCTATATTTGTAAAATATGATATGCTAACTGAATATCTAACCCTTTTCTGGTTCGCCATGCTTGAGTATAAACTCTACGTTTCAATTCAAAAAGTTCGAAAGATGCAAAATTTGGGCAATGTTTATATCTGGGGTTCCCTTTGTTATGAGCAGAACTGATGCGCAGAACGGAGTGGATATCATCTTTGGAGACGATACATTTGTAAAGGTTTGAATAATGTAAGTCATTCAAAATTTGCATAGCATGACCTGTTGCTATGGCTTGCTTCGCCACTGAATTTAATTAACCTTCTGAAATGGCATTTCCAGCAATTTCGGAGAGTAGTTTTGTGGATTGTGTCATATTATCAAAGTATTTAACGAAGAATATTATTTAAAATTTATGTTATCAAAACAAGTCCTAAGAAGAAATATATTGGGTTGTATTTTCGAGAAATAACTGGCGATGGTCTACGCTATAGACGGCGAAAACCTGTGGGTGCCGGTTTCTGTTGGAAACCCTGCCCAAGGTGTTCTCTACAGAATCTGTAACTCTTGTATAGATTGAAGTTATTCTAATGATAGCCAGTAATATTTTCGGCATTGCATTATTTTTATGCACACTAGAGTATGACGTTCTTACAAACTTACCTGACAGTCACAGATGATCCTAATGTACCAGCGGTGACTTGAACCATCACAGCTGCTAGCTGTCCTTCGGTAACACTGTATGAACTTGATGTGAATGATGTTTGAGCAACTTAAACGTAAAAATACAAGTTTTATGATTATGTCTACAAGTTATGTCATCACCACAAATCCACAACTGGTGTTTACGATTGGGCGTCTGGTACGCGAGGTCGTAAATGAAAAGAACAGCTAAATTTGAGATACAATGTCAGGGTAGGTAGAGGATTTATGGTATATTTTAACATTTAACTTACCATCGTTATTCGTGATAGTGACTGTTGCTTGAGTTGGTGCTTGCACTTCAACATTATCATCAGAGCCAGGGCTAAGCTAGTCTCCTACGCAGCCTGTTCGCGGGTCCGAGGTTTTCTCCCCACTAACAGGCTGCTTACTGCAGCAACACATTCCATTCCGATTGTTTAGCCAATCACAGCCCGAGTACCAAAATCAGGAACTCGTTCGCGCTTAAATTTAATATTCCGAAACAAAGATGGCGTCGTATGATCAAGCATTGTCTGAAGTCGCCCATTATTTCGTATTTCTAATTTCAACGATCATCAGAGGAATGCGATTCGAACAATAATTAAAGAAAAATGAGATGCGTTTGTGAACACGCCTACTACAGGCTTCGATAAATCGATTTGCCTCTCATGTGATGTGATCGCCTGTTCCACGAATAATGCCAGAGCGGTAGTTCATGGAATACCAGAGCCCAGAGGCATTGCTCTTTATAAATCATTGACTATTTAATTAACTGCCTTATTTATGTTTCAGTACCACCATTTTAATAATTTATCAGATTTCTTTAAAAATTATTTTGTGACAAACAACAAAATTCATGAACATAAGTCATAACACTACGAAAATGCTTCATCAAAACTTCACGAATGTTATGAAAGGACAAATTATTTTAATTATGTGAAACACAGTCTCTCGTATAAAGGAAAAAATATATATGTAATAGTTTAATAATATATAGCACTTTAGTTTAGTATTTTGTTGGTCATTGCTGCCAAGTCATTGTAAAATTTAAATGCATCGCCAACTTTAGTATTAATTTATATACTGATACGAACATTGCCCTTACAGTAACTTCTTTTTCTCTGTTGTAAATACAGTTGTTGTACATATGTTGTAAATCTGTTGTAAATACATTTTACATATTGCATGTATGACACTATGTCTATGTGATTTAATAATTATTACAAATGAACAGTATTTATAAAACTAGAAGCCTAAAATCTAAATAGAAAGTCTACGAAGATGTCTATAGTAGGTATCTAGCCCAAAATCGTTTAAAGATAAATTTTAAGTAACTTTTTTTATATATGGGAAAAATTAAATAAAAATATATAATATATATAAGACCATATAAATTTGTAAACAACTATTTTGAACGACAAGTTGTCAATTTCGAATTACTGCATGTATTCAAATTAACACGAAATCAAATATAAAAATATTTATATACATTTGCTAGTTAAAACTATACTCTATAGCAATGTACTTAATGATACACTTAAATGCTACTCATATATAGTTTTAGTTTTAATTTAGGCTTGTAAAAATATGCTGTAAAGCAAAAGTGCTCGCGGGTTTGACTTCTATTATGGTTTCAAAAGTGCTCGGGAGTCGGGTTTTATTTGAGCGCATAAAATCCGAACACTTTTGAAACCATAAAAGTCTGAGAACTCGTAATACCCGCGAGCACTTTTGCTTTACAGCATATTTTTTGTACAAGCCTAAATAGCCTCCGTTATATAACCTCAGTCGAGCGAGATTATTTGAGAAGGATGCCCAACACCTCTAAACCCAACACAATAGCCAAGGCGGTCGCGCTCATTTTATCATTTCTTTGCTTGAACAGCACTGAGCCACATAGCTGCTCAAGACTGAATTTCTTTAGATCATCCTCTCCAGTTTTTTTAACACAGTCGAGAGTTTCTTTCTAAAACACAAATCGCTAACTTCCTGGGAAACGATGTCAAGCACTTTCTGTGTAACCACCTTGCGGACGGGTTGCATTTCATATTACTGCCCGGCTGCCGTATATAGAGGTCCATACAGTAACGCTTTCCCCAATGTATTGTAGGTATCACACACAGTTTTACTCACAGTTCCAAGGAGTAGGAACGAAATATGGGACGATAAAAGCTGGGTCCATGGATTGTGTCTTTAATAATAATAGTGTAACTTTCAGGGCAACTAGACAACAGCCGTTTCATAACAGACGTTTTTGCAAATAAATAAATCGTTACTGTCAGAATATTGTTCACATCAACATTTTATACTGATACTTTGATCAGATCAGCTATACCAAGGGCACTTCTCCCGTCATACAGAATATAAACAAGTTGATTATTTCAAACAGGCGTGTAATATATTTTAACAGCAGTAAACACTGAGATATATTTAGCACTGAACAATTAATTAGTCACTACTGAATTTGGCGGGAAGCATACGTCATGCCGTTTCCTGATTGGTCAAGTTGAAACAATCGGAATGGAATGTGTTGCTGCAGTAAGCAGCCTGTTAGTGGGGAGAAAACCTCGGACCCGCGAACAGGCTGCGTAGGAGACTAATGGTCATAGAGCAGGAAAAATATATTCAATATTAATGATTTGCATAAAAGCGCGTTTCGGTCATTAGGTCATACAGTTATATAACAGTTAACCCTTGTGTTCATAAAATGAAGGTATACATATTATTCAGGACACTGTCACTGAGGACAGTAGAAACATTTTCGTATACAGTGAACAAAGTATTATACAGTATTCAAAGGCTATTTTAATAGCAAGAAACTGGCATAATAAAGTAACAGGATTTTTGTTTGGCCATGTCATAGTATATGAAAGCCCCATTTACAGTTATTAGAAATCTTGTTTGCTGTGAATTTATTATAATTACTATCTTAACAATACTTGTATAAATTAAGTCATCATACTGTATATATAATCAGATATTTTATGTTCTGCTTTAGTTCCCACCTGCAAAAGGCTTGTAGCTGGTGCTATTCCTACATTTAATTTACCCCAGAAAAGCATACCTCTCTACATCGACAATTGGAGCCAGGTAACATTGCTGGTCGTCACACTGGTCAGAGGAGTAAATGGTATCGTGGATTAGAAAAGGCCTTGCCGTAACATAAAACAGAAGTGATCTAGTGAGAACTTTTGTGGGGTTTTTGTACCCAGAGCTGTCATTAAGGGCCTGTAGCTTGCCTACTTCTGTCTGAACAAAGTTCATATAAACAAAACTGTGAAGCAATAAACAAACCTTTTACTTCCTCTAGTCAGAACATCAAAATTAAAACAAAAGATTAAATTATTTCAAACAGGTCAGGGTTTGATAGGATGTTTTGTAATCTTAAGAACTCTGTAAAATACCTTCCAAAATGCAGGGAATGTGTAAAATACCTCCCCAAATGCAGGGAATGGCATTTCCAACCCAGACCCCTCTAGGAGTCTTGTGCCTTCAATGTTCAATCATTTTTCGGCCACCTACTTGTAAACTTAATGACAGCACTGCTTCAAAAGAGTAATATGCAATAATTTGTACATATGCTATAAAATAATTATTAAAACAGATTATAAATGAATAGGTGAACAATAAGTCTAGAACAATATATTACCTTAGTTGAATAATTTGTAAAAATTTATACTAATATATACAGTAAATCACTATTACACAAAATTGTTTCACTTCAAATAAACAAGACATTGGTAGGCTCAAGTTTGAATTATCATGGTTTGAGAGACAACAACGGCTAGAATCAGAGCACACTGGTGTACCGGTAGTGAATAAGTACACTATTCACATCTGAAATTGGCTGTCAACCAGGGGCATAGGAACCAGGGGGCCAAGGCCCCCCAAGTTCTCAGAAGATGCAAAAAGTGTCTTTTGAGTGTGGGGCAGTTAAACAATGAAATGACCAGCCTGCTTGGCATGCTTTGGGCTGGAGCACGACAAATGGCAAAATTTGAAACTTAACAGCCATACAGTTTACCAATATTCTCAAAACACAAGGACGTACTGGCATTCTTTTGATACTGCAATGCTATTAGATTGCTCAATAATGTCATTCCACAAACTTTTTGCTAATGGAGGAGCTTGGACGTTCTTAATAACTTTATCAACGTGTAAAGAAGTAGGTTTGCCTTAATTCTTGTGTGCTTTCTAAAGCACGATTCAGCAATTCTAGCAATATCATTAAGTCATGAATTTGGTACCCACAGGGCTGACGGCCCCTCCCCAGCAACATAAGCTAGGTGGTCCAAATTCTTCTGATTTCACTGATAATTACTAGCAGAATACAAACATTAAAAAATATTTCTGGGTATATAATCCTTTGCACATAGGTAAAATCTTCTGGCACTGGAGAGGAATAAGAACTAAGTTTAATACCCTTAGGTCAATATTGTACTATACAGAGGAAATATCAAAATTTGATATTTCCTCTGTATGATATTTCCTTTGAAATCTCCTTTGTCTAATATATTATAAGACTTGGTCTTGGAAACTGGGGGATGCATGGGCATGAAATATCATGGAATCTTGGAATACAGTAACATTCTATTTTGATGTGACAGAATGATCAAAAGTAACAAATCACATGTTAGTAGACATTGAATCACTGTATATTGGTCAATGGCTGGACTTGTAATTGACAATTGGACACAAGCCTTAGGGCCTACTATTTTAAGACATTCATATCTAGGTTACAGTATATTGTCTATATATATACAGTATTAAGATATTTACTGGTATTAAAGCATGCAGTTTCTTCAGTGTTTATAATAAGAATATCTGCTGGTAATAGCAAAGTCAACCGTTCGGGCATATTCACCAGCATCAAAAGCACGACTTTATCTTCTCTGCATGGATGAAAATATTCTTTCCTTTTCCCTACCTCTCGAATGATCGACAATGCCTTCTCATATGCGTGATAAGTCATATACTAGAAAATACATGCATGCAGAAACCCTCGCCTTGCTGACAAAACCATTGTATTTTCCGAACATGAAGTATCTAAGTTGTCATGGTAACACGATAATTTTTTAAGAATATTCTTACAAATGAAAAATCGCCTATAAATATCACTTTTAATCACAAAATTATTAATTTCCCAACATATATATGTTAGGTATGTTATTATACGTAATATAAGCCTCGATTTAAGGTAAAATTCAACCAAACGCTTCGCAAAGCGTTTTAAAGTCATTAGTGTTCTTTAATATAAAACTAAACTGCCTTTTAAAATGGCTTTATCGATAAACTTTGAGTTTGCAATAAAATGATTTAAAATTCTCGCTTGCAAATAACTTTGCTTTCTTATTTATTTAAAAAATTCAATATCATAAAAAAGGGAATCAATATTAAGATACACTGAAATTATATGCTGTCTTGTTTAGTTGTTTCATATACGCAAAGGCCGTCGGGTTTTAAATCCATTATAAAATCAATATTTAAAACAAACTTACCTTCGTTAACGTCGGCTCCCTTCTTTTAGCCGATTCTTTCGCAGTTCCTTTCTCAGAGAGCTTTTGAAATTTACAAAATCTTGCAAAAATGCGAGAAAAAATGAAATATATTTGCAAGAAATTTATCAATCATCAAATCAACTCAAGAAATGTTTGCTATTTCGATGTCGTCATGCAGTCGTTATAATGCAAACTTTAAATTGGACCAATCAGTGTCCGCTATTCGTGACAGTCCGCCATATTTTTGAGATCAGTGAGGATGACCACCCACCCAACACCGTTGGTGACCCACGCCCGCGATATTTGATGAACTTTAGACTCCGCTAATGCTTTCGTTTCCCCGGGTGTAAATAGCCGGGGGGAATTAGTACCCTCGCACGGCGCTTCGGGCCGTCGGCTCGGGGATAACATGGGTTTTGATTTTCCCTTTGGCAGTACTAGCTGTAGAATTTGTCGAGTGCTTAATACTGCGTCGATATTCGCACGGGAATTGCTTTAATCCTTCAATCTAAACGACAAATATAAGTCAAATATTAAGTCTAAGGCATCTCACTACATATTGTTTAATTGGACACCGTATAAAGGACTTACTTCTTCAACTGAACGCGATATTTCTTCTGTTAATTCATCCGCGTTGATTTGCAGCAGCTAAATAGTTTGATGAAAATCGCCTCCGTCGTTGTATCTGCGTCTCCAGCGCCCAGAATTGGGTGAATTTTGCTTTCTGAATCGTATGCCGAACTTGTCGAAGCCATAACAAGAACAACAATGCCTCATCCCCGAGCCGGCGGCGCGAAGCGCCGTGCGAGGGTACTAATTCCCCCCGGCTATTTACACCCGGGGAAACGAAAGCATTAGCCAAGTCTAAAGTTCATCAAATATCGCGGGCGTGGGTCACTGTGCGTGGGCAAGTGAAGTGCAAAAATCCAAATTATTGAAGTCCACCTTATCATAACCCGCACACCTGATTACTTAAATATACACGAACTTACGGTTAAAGCTCAACAGCTGGCCTCTGTAGCTCAGTTGGTTAGAGCGCTGCACCGGAATCGCAGGGCAGTAGGTTCAATTCCTACCAGAGGACCTTGTGCTGCATTTTTCGCAGTCGTTCCTGGTTAGGTCTTAAAATGTATATATTCTCACTTGGATTACAAACCCTAACATTCTAATATTAAGTCCACCAAGTGAAGTGCAAGAATCCAAATTATTGAAGTCCACCTTATCATAACCCGCACACCCGATTACCTAAATATACATGAACTTATGGTTAAAGCTCAACAGCTGGCCTCTGTAGCTCAGTTGGTTAGAGCGCTGCACTGGAATCGCAGGGTCGTAGGTTCAATTCCTACCAGAGGACCTTGTGCTGCATTTTTCGCAGTCGTTCCTGGTTAGGTCTTAAAATGTATATATTCTTACTTGGATTACAAACCCTAACATTCTAATATTAAGTCCACCAAGTGAAGTGCAAGAATCGAAATTATTGAAGTCCACCTTATCATAACCCGCACACCCGATTACTTAAATATACATGAACTTACGGTTAAAGCTCAACAGCTGGCCTCTGTAGCTCAGTTGGTTAAAGCGCTGCACCGGAATCGCAGGGCCGTAGGTTCAATTCCTACCAGAGGACCTTGTGCTGCATTTTTCGCAGTTGTTCCTGGTTAGGTCTTAAAATGTATATATTCTCACTTGGATTACAAACCCTAACATTCTAATATTAATTCCAACAAGTGAAGTGCAAGAATCCAAATTATTGAAGTCCACCTTATAACCCGCACATCCGATTACCTAAATATACATGAACTTATGGTTAAAGCTCAACAGCTGGCCTCTGTAGCTCAGTTGGTTAGAGCGCTGCACCGGAATCACAGGGCCGTAGGTTCAATTCCTACCAGAGGATGATGTGCTGCATTTTTCGCAGTCGATTCTGGTTAGGTCTTAAAATGTATATATTCTCACTTGGATTACAAACCCTAACATTCTAATATTAAGTCCACCAAGTGAAGTGCAAGAATCCAAATTATTGAAGTCCACCTTAAATATCATAACCCGCACACCCAATTACTTAAATATACATGAACTTACGGTTAAAGCTCAACAGCTGGCCTCTGTAGCTCAGTTGGTTAGAGCGCTGCACCGGAATCGCAGGGCCGTAGGTTCAATTCCTACCAGAGGACCTTGTGCTGCATTTTTCGCAGTCGTTCCTAGTTAGGTCTTAAAATGTATATATTCTCACTTGGATTACAAACCCTAACATTCTAACCCTAACATTCTAACATTTGAAATTAAGGATTTGGAGGTTTTGCGACCACCGACAACTTGATAATTTTATAAAACAAAACACTTCTATCTCCAACTTTTACAATCACTGATAAATTGATAATAATTTAAACCAGTCTAGCTGTAGTTTAAATAGAGAATAATACATGGGTGCACGAAATACCAGATTTATTTCGAGTGTTGAACAAGTGAGCGCAGCGAACAAGTGAGCGCAGCGAACAAGTGAGCGCAGCGAACGAGTGAGATGTCATGTTCAACACAAAAAATAAATCTGGTATTTCCAACCACCCATGTATTTTTCTGTTTATTATATAAAGGACAGTCTTAAATGAAAAGCGATAATGTTTACAGAAAAGCGATAATTGAAAAGGCGATAAATTTTTACATGTGAGATTATCATGAATAATTTCACATCTGAGATTATCATTTTTGTCAGTGCTCGAAAACTCTGCAAAACACTATATTTTATATAATAAAAATTCATAAATTTGAACCATGCTAGAGCATGACAACAGCAAAATGCTCTATAGTATGATGCACAATATTTTGGGAGGTGATCGAAATACACGAACAATAAATCAGAGAGTGTTTGCTTGGAACTCACTGGGGGGGGGGGAGGTGCAACACCCCTGATTATTGCTCATGATGAATTTCAGGTAGATTTCCAGTGCACTTTTAGTACGTACATTTAAGTAGATTTGCAGAAGATTTTCAGGGGAATTCAGGTAATTCTCAGGACATGACTGAGAAAGTGAATTTGGAAAACAACTGTATTTTCGAAAAAATTATTATATGTCCTGAAAATTTTTTGTACATCTGGAAACTTTTTGGTAACCCCCCCCCCCTCTATCTAA